AATGAGTTTTTGTCCCCCCTCGAATTTGGTTGTTGAGTGTTTTAAATTGTGGTATTGTTTTGTTCATGTTCTTTTTTTCCCCTTATTTGTACCTCCCTCCCTGACTTGGGTTGTGAGCCGCCCTGAGTCCCCTTCGGGGAAAAGGGCGGCATAGAAATATAATAAATTCAATTCAATTCAATTCAAGCAGGAGACCACATACCATTCCAGACAAATGGCTGTCCAGTCTCTTCTTAAAAACCTCCAGTGATGGAGCACCCACAAGTTCTGGAAGGAAGCCATTCCACTGATTAACTGTCCTCACTGTTAGGAAATTTCTCCTTAATTCTAAGTTGGATCTCCCCTTTCCATCTGTTACCATACTTCTTCTCCTGCACTCAGGTGCTTTGGAGAATAGTTTGATCCCCTCCTCTCAGCCCCTCAAATATTAGAAGACTGCTATCAAGTCCTTCTCTTTGTTAGACTAGGCATATCCAGTTCCTGCAACTGTTCATCGTGTGTTTTAACCTCCAGCCCCCTGATCAACTTTGTGGCTCTTCTCTGCACTTTTTCTAGATTTCAACATCTTGTTTTGAATGGTGGTGAGCAGAACAAGCATATTTAGGCAGCATCTCATTCTTTACAAAGAGGAAACCCACTAAATAACACTGGAATTATTGGAACAAAATCAATAAACAATCGGAATTCCATTACATGGCATCCCACACCCTACGGCAGTATACTTAAATATACTTACTTGATACTCTTTAAGTGGTATTTGCCCTCCAAACTATCTAGAAGAATACTGAGATTATCCAAGCTGAGATCACTATTGGAAAAACTAGAGATGGAAGGAAAGTACAAGTTTTTAGAAAGGTAGTTCAGAAAAGAAGAGACATAGCAAACTGCCAAATGGTACAGTGACCCTATGAAAGAGAGGCGAATCTGAAAGTAGATAATTGTTTAGGTTTATAACTTTCCTTTACAAAAGTACATTCAAGAACAAAAACCAAGAAAAACTTACCAAGAATTCATTTTAAAACACAATTTCCATTATTTTCAACACTTTGCCAGGATAAAAGACCGCTTGTTGCTAAATTAAATGACCAGAATGAAGGACAAGAGTGAGTTTTTGAAAAATAAATAAATCTAAAACACAGTTTTCTGAAACTCAAAGTCAACTGGGCTTAATTTTGTATGGGGAAAAGGGAGGCAGGGAGAGAGGCTTTTAAGAATCTGTTATCCTTCCTGGTATGCTTGCAGTTTCTTGATCTGATCTACCTCACAGGGCTGACATCAAACACGCTTCCTTAATGGTTCATTGCCCTCCACCCACCCCGAATTAGGTTTCTCATTTCCTTCCCCAGGTAAACGCCTTTATGGTTTGTAAAACCACAAACAGGGAAGGATACCACATTAAACAAACCCCACATTTCCTGCTGAAGATCTCCCATGCTTCTCTCATGTGCTACTAAACCTCCTAGGATGGCAACCAGCAAAAGCAAACTTCAGAATCCAATGAACTTCAGAAGTCTTTTACGGCTCATGTCATAAACAATAAATCTACGTCCTGAGATGATAATCTAGTGAATATCCATTTCTTCCCCATTCGCTGCTGCTCCCTGCTGTTTTGCTGGAATAGTTTTATTATAGATTTAGTTGCTTGGTATAATTTTATTTCATTTCTAGCAGATGTTGTTATTTTATCTATTGATTTAGGGTTCTTCAGGGCAGAACTAAGCTACGGGAGAAGGCTTAAAGTATGCCTATTTACAGAAATGCAATTTTTCGAAACCCTTACCTATCTCTGTTCTCTTCGCCCCAACAGCAGAGAAGAGGAGGGTGGGTATAACTTTGGGTGCCCTTGACTCAGAGTCTTCTGTTCTGCATTTTCCATCCTACTGAGTGACCACGTGATGTGGCCAAAGAATGAATCATTCTTCTTCCCTTTTGCTAACACCCATCCTCCACAGTAGAACACAGAACATAGAACCATGGGGGGCGGCAGGGACCTAAGAGGTCTTCTAGTCCAACCCCCTGCTCGAGCAGGAGACCTTATGCCATCCTGATCAAATGGCTCTCCAATCTATTTTGAAAAACCTGCAGCAAGGAAGCACCCGCAACTCTGAGAGGCAAGCTGATTAACTCTTCTCATTATCAGGAAATTTCTTCTTAGTTTTAGGTTGGATCTCTCTTTGATAAACTTCCACCCATTCCTTCTTGTCCTGCCCTCAGGTGCTTTGAAAAGTAAGACAATCCCCATGTTTTAGGCTGTATTGCTATTATCCTTGTTACCTTCTCCTCTTTCTCGCTTCTCCTCTTTCCTACGCTACTTACCTTCTCCTATTGGTATATTGTGATTTATCCATTGTTGTTTTATGATTTATGATTGTATCTTATGATTTATGATCCATGACGTATCCCTTTGTTGTTTGTATGCAGACTGAGAGCTTATGCACCAGAGACAAATTCTTGTGAATCCAAGCACAATAAAGAATTCTATCCTCCATAATTCTTCTCTTCTCTTCTCCTATTCCCATTCCCATTCCATTCATGTCCTCCCAAATCCTTCTCTTTGATAGGCTAGTTTCCCTCTCCTCCTGAATCAGCTGTTGGTGAGAAAAACTGTCACCAACTCTCACCACATGCTTCGGATAAGGATGGTGGGTGACTGGGATGGAGAATTGGGCCACCTTTTCAGTTGCCCAAGTGACAGGGTGAAGGTTTCCATCAAAAATGAGTAACTTGGGGTATGTTTGAATGCAGGTCTATCAGTCTCCTGGGAGGCCCACTGACTGAAAGGATGTCAGATCTGGATGCAATCTTCTCTAAGACTAAAATCATTGTTCAAAAATAGCCCAGCAACCCATTACAGACCAGTAGACAATTTTACTGCTCTTTCCTTCACTAGCTCTCACCATAAGGAAATTCTAGAGCAAGTGGATCTATCTAATGCTAGATTAATAGAATTAGTAATGAAAAAAAGATTAAAAGAGCAAAAAATCCATCTCATCAATAAATAGGGACCATTCCTTGAAGATGAGTACCAGTAGCCCTCAAGTTACAACAGTACATTTAGTGATCGTTCAAATTTACAATGGCACTGAAAAAAGTGACTTATGATCATTTTTCACACTTATGCAGTATCCCTAAGATCACGTTATCAATATTCGGACACTTGGACAACTGACTCATAATTATGATGGTTGTCCTGTGGTCACCTTTTGTAACCTTCTGGCAAGCAAAGTCAATGAGGAAACCAGGTTCACTGACAACTGAGTTACTAAACAACTGTAGTGATTCACTTAACAACTGTAGTATGAAAGGTCGTAAAATGGGACAAAACTCACTTAACAATTGTTTCACTTAGCAACCATAATTTTGGACTCAATTGTGGATATAAGCCTAAGGCTACCAGTGTCCACCTCATCAATAAATCTTATGTCATAAAAATGAGTACTAGCCATCTTTATGAAGCCCTTCCTTAAAGGAATCCTAAAACAAAGAACTTTCTCATTCCAAAAATCTGTATTTTGCAATAAGAAATTAGAAACCATTAGCAGTTGTCAACATATTAGGTTTTACACTTACTTAATATCTTCAATGGCAAAGCCCCGTTGCAATATCTTAGCTATGTATTCAATGCTGGTGGGAGGAATCCTGTCATTGGTTAACCTGGAAATCCAGAAACAGGACAAGCTGAGAAGAGTCTGGGAGTGTGATTGAAAACCCCTTGTTTTCCTATGTGTGGCACTTGTGCAATGCACAGCATAACATTTATTCATGTAGTGGCATCTATCCATCTATCCCTCCATCTATCCCTCCATTCCTTTATCTATTTATCTATCTATCATCTATCTATCTATCTATCATCTATCTATCTATCTATCTATCTATCTATCTATCTATCTCTATCCATCCATCTCGATCCCTCTCCATCCCTCTCCATCCATCCATCTATCTATATCTATTTACCTGTCCATCCATCCATAGGTGACCTTTAATCCCAGAATTCTCCAGCCAGATAGATAGATAGATAGATAGATAGATAGATAGATAGATAGACAGACAGACAGACAGACAGACAGACAGACTAGGTAGGTAGGTAGGTAGGTAGGTAGGTAGGTAGGTAGGTAGGTAGGTAGGTAGGTAATATAAAGATAGACAGACAAACAGACAGCTAGATGTCGGTAGGTAGGTAGGTAGGTAGATATATAGATAGACAGACAGACATAAATAGATAGAGGTAGGTAGGTAGATAGACAGATAGAGAGAGGGGGAGGTAGGTAGGTAGATATATAGATAGATGGATGGATGGATAGATAGACAGACAGACAGACATAGACAAAAAGACAGACAGATAGATAGATAGATAATCATCTTCTACAATATCTTATCTATCTAGATCTCTCATCTCTCTCTACATTTATATCTCCTATAGTACTTTATTTCTCTCTTTCTCTTTTTCTATTTATCTCTCTATCTAATTTTTATACCATTTATCTCACCTGAATAGACTTTGGAAGATTTACAATACAAAACATAAAATGGTGTAAAAATATAATTAACAGAGTTATAAGCAGAATTAAGGACAATGTTAGAAATATGGCATAAGCAAATCTTGGGAAGTGCAGATGAAGAGTTTCACAAACAAGAGGAGGGGAAGCAAGACTGTAGACATCCAGAATCTAATAAAGGTAACAAGGCTAGGCAGCCAACCCATCCGATGCTTTGGTTTAGATTGGACCTACCAAAGTTTCTGCAGTGCTGGAAAATGCACCAAAGCATCAAATGAAGTTGGTCCTTCAGCATCAGGAAGCAGTGGATGAGATGTCCTGGAGAAGCCAAACCACCTTGATCAATTAATCAAATGAGGACTCAATGCATCTAATATTAAGCCAAAATATCATTTGTTTTTGGCTTAATGTGACACGGGAACTCACTCCCTGGGCTCTTTTTAGGATTCCATTATCACTTTGTAATTGGTTTATGAATCCTAAAACAATCCTTTCAATCATGCCCTTATATCTGAACTCCCAATCCTTATTTCTGATTAAGTTGTGCCCACTTTATTCAACCTCAGATCATTTTCTAAAAAATACTCTGAAATAAGACTGGGGAGGATATTCACAGGGGGAACTCCACTGAACATTGCTTTCAATAGCTTTGATTGAATTCATATGCTAAATCACGCAAATGAGTTTTTATAACAATGTATAATCTGGTTACTAAGTGGACTCATTTTCAGGGTTTATGCAATATACTGAACCATAAATTAACCAAATAGATTAAGGGTCATACCATATGCTAAACCCTGAACCAATTATGGTCAAAACCTTCCACCTAGAAGACTGTATACCAGGAGTGGGTTCACTGGTGAAATTCATTTTTTTTTTACTGCCGGTTCTGTGGTCGTGGCTTGATGGGTGTTGCAGGTGAAGGATACTGCAAAACCTCCATTCCCACCTCACTCTCTGGGGCCAGCCAAAGGCAGCACTTGCCAGATCTCTGAACTACTCAAAATTTCCACTACTGGTTCTCCAGAATCTGTCAGAACCTCCTGGATTTCACCCCTGGGTGGGCTGCTCAGGCAAACCGGTAGTAGCAGTGGTGGGAAGCTCCGCCCATCTGCCAGGACACTTCTATGCATGCACAAAAGCATTACACACACACCCGCAAGCACGCCCGAACCGGTAGCAAAAAAAAAAAGGGCAACCCACCACTGCTGTATACATGTATTTGCTAGGATGCTACCTGTCCTGCTTAAGAAAATTCATAGTGGTTTGTCTGATTTTTTAAGGAGCCTGATGTGTGAACTCACACACAGTGAGGTAGAACAGTCAAGGGTTTGACTGACACTAGAGAGACCCACTTTCAGCCATGAGGATTCTATAGGTGATTTTTGGGCCCTTTATTTTCTCTCTGCCCAGCCAAAATGATAGTGATGTTCACAATAAGGATGAAATCAGAGGAGACCCAAAAATGTTCAGTCCTCTAAAGAAATGTGAGGCAGGTCTAAACTCTCCATCAGTTAGCAAGTCACTCAAATCTTGTGTTCTCCATTCATTTGAGATTTTCTGTCCAGGCAAATGGCAAGAAACAAATTAGAACATAGAATCATAAGACTGGAAGGGACCTCAGAGGTCTTCAAGTCCAACCTAGTCTGCTCAAGGCCAAAAATCTTGTACTATCCTGGTCAAATGATTGTTTAATGTTTTCTTGAAAACCTCCAGTGAGGGAACATCTACAATATCTAGAGGTAAGCCAATCCACTATGTAATTGTTCTCGCTGTTAGGAAATTTCTCCTTAGTTCTAGGTTGGTAGACTTCTATTTGTTACTTCCTATCCACCCTCTAAAGGGATATGGTGGCTCAGTGGCTAAGATGCTGAGCTTGTCGATCAGAAAGGTCAGCAGTTGGCCAGTTCGAATCCCTAGCGCCACATAATGGAGTGAGCTCCCATTACTTGCCCCAGCTTCTGCCAACCGAGCAGTTCNCTTTCCTAGGACAGTTGTTAAGTGAACCACTGCAGCTGTTAAGTTAGTAACATGGTCGTTAAGAGAATCTCCCTTCCCCATTTGTCAGGTCGCAAAAGGTGATCACATGATCTTAAATCATAAATACATGCCAGTTGCCATGTGTCTGAATTTTGATCACATGACCTTGGGGATACTGCAAAGGTTTGTAAATGTGAAAAAGAGTTCTAAAATCCCTTTTTCAGTGCCGTTGTAACTTTGAACATTCACTAAATGAAACTGTTGTAAGTCAAGGACTACCTGTACCTTATTTTAGTTTCACAAATCCTTTTTTTTTAAACTTAAACATAAAAAAGTGAAGAGTGTGTGGAATCTGTTGTTGTCTTTTTAATGGGAATTGGCAGCTCTGTGCACCTACATTGGACTTCTCAGGCAGAAATCTATCGGGACCCACCTTAAGAATCTTAAGTTGCTGAGACCGGACAGACACGACACCATCTGCTTAACATCTTCATCGTTTAGTGAATTTCCAGAGAAGCTAGACAGGGGAAAAGGAAAGTTTGAGATGCATCAGAAGAATAACGTCTTTCATGACTACTGCATTTGTGGAGGAGAAATACATTTGAAGGTTCAAAGAGCTGTTGAAATGGCCTCCATCAACATCAAGCTTTTGTGGTGATTTTGAGGAACATCCCATCAATGCTTCCGTGACTGGTCAAACTCAGCATAGATTCAGTAGGTGTGTCCCAGGGAGCTGAGCTTTTTTCAAACTGAACTGCTCCATAGAGAAACGATTTGGAGGCAGCAATGGTTAATCTTTCCCTCCTAAGCATCAAGCTTGAAAAAATATTGAAACTAGGCAGAACAAATGCTCCTACTAAACGCCATCATCAAGATTAAAATTTCAGGGAAGCTAGCTTGGACCAAATCCATCTCATGAGCCATTGAATCCTTGCTCCATTTCTTATCAAGTGCCAACTGGAAAATATTAATCAATATTTCTGTTTCTGAGTTATATTTTATAACCATTCTGCCTTCAGAGTGCAGTATCCAACATTGTTAATAATGTTGACTAAAGACATTTACAGCCACAAGAGTAAAATAACTCATCCAAGCAATTTTGGATACACACACACACACCACACACACACACACACACACACACACACACACACACAGAGGTAACGCTGTCCAATAGAATCAATTACAGGTAGTCCTCGAGTTACGCCCACAATTGAGCCCCAAATCCATGTTGCATTTGTTAATAGCATGGTTGTTAAGTGAATCTGGCTTCCCCATTGAAAGTTGTAAAAGGGGATCACATGACCCTATGTCATTGGAACATGTGAGTCAGTTGCCATGTGTCTGAATTTTGATCACGTGACCATGGGAATGCTGCAATGGTCACATTTTTCAGTGCCGTTGTAACTTGGAATAGTCACTCAATGAACTGCTGTAAGTCGAGCACTACCTGCAAAGTGTTGATGTCAACTCTCCATGATGACATTCCACGCATACCTTCTGCAGTTTGAGATGGGTGTATCTATTGGGTAACGTGATTTATGATACAGACTGAGGGGAGGAAAGGAACTGGGGCAAAGTTCAGAAGCAGACAAACAAAACAAAGAAATGGCTGTGAATAAATCTTGCCTAATGAATAATGCCTAATGAAGCTGTTAATAAATCACTGGTTTTTGTATTAAAACATTGGCTCGATTATTATGAATCAGTTACGGCATCATTAGGAAACTTTACAGTTAAATTGGAATTATAACCAGGTTTCAAAGCTTATATGTAACAATTCAGAAATTTTTGTCTCTTGCTTCTTTGTTACTGCAGTTAAATAATGTTGGATAAGATAGTCAAAACAAATGAACAGCTGTAAAAGTAACAATACCCAGCAATCATCTCAGCATGGATTCTAGGGGCAATGTAACAATATTTGGAATCATTTAGCAAGGTTAGATTTTTATCTGACTTTAGATATTAAAGATGGAATAAATCTGAATGTCCTGAGAAATTAATAATTAATGGATCCATGTGTGGTGTGAAGGTCTTCATCAACTTCCAATCACAATGGGGACCAGAATTTCTGTAGCTAAGCCAGATACTTATTAAGTGAATTGCTCCTGATTTTACAACCTTTTCCCCTCGGTTATTAAGTGAATTACTCCAGCTGCTTTTGACCATGATCCTGGGGTTGCTGCAACGGTCATAAGTGCGAGGACATTGTAACTTCAAACAGTCATTAAATGAATAATTTCAAGAGCTTCTATATAAGCCAGAGTGGCGCAGTTGTTAGAATGCAGTACTGCAGCTAACTCACTGCTCACTCCAGAGCAGGGGTGTCAAACTCACGATGGCATGTTGTCATCATGTGATGTATTACAACTTCCCCCCCTTTGCTAAACTGGGGGTGGGCGTGGTCTGTGCATGACACATCTGGCCTATGGGCCGTGAGTTTGACACCCCTGCTCCGGGGGTTCGATCCTGACCAGCTCAAGGTTGATTCAGCCTTCCATCCTTCCAATTCTGCCAACTGGCAGCGGTTCAATCCTGACCGGCTCATAGTTGAGTCAGCCTTCTGTCCTTCCGAGGTTGGCAAAATGAGGACCCAGATTGTTGGGGGCAAATAGGATGACTCTGTAAACCGCTTAGAGTGGGCTGTGAAGCACAGTGAAGCGGTATATAAGTCTAAGTGCTATTGCTAGTACTATATAGTAAGTCTAATACAAGAAAAAAAATCAGCTATTCTGCAGTCTTCATTTGTAGCTGTTGGTAACACATTAAAATGTGCAAATAGCCTGCCTCTCCTGCACTTCAGAATTTCAATTTGTTCCAATTCTGTAGTAATGCTGGAACTAATAGGCTGCCTGCTGAGTTAAAATTCCTCTTGGCAGAATAATCTGTATTTCTCGTTCATCTTTATCTCAAGTTGTCTGCCTCAGCAGAAAAAACAACTCTTATCAAAGCCTTCTCTGAAATCTGCATAAACCCGCTCCAAAAAAACCACTGAAGATCTGGGCAAGTTTTAGCTACATTTAGAAGAAGGTAGAAGAAGTTTTACATTCCCAGTCTTTAAAGGGGGGGTGGGGTGAAACAAGTTATTCCAACTTTAACGGAAGCTTTGAAACAGATATTCATCATCACCATGTGGCCAGTAAGTTCGGAGCTATTTTGAACCCAGAACGGAGCCTTTCAGGTGGAAACTATTTTATAGATTTTCGTTTTTGCCTGAAAATAATTCAAATCATCCTGTGCAACAGTTTGCATATGTTGGCACTGTTATTGTTCCTTTGGAGAAAGGTTTAACCTAACAACTGCTTCACTCACTTAACAACTGCAATGATTCACTTAACAACTGTAGCAAGAAAGGTTGCAAAATGGAGCAAAATTCACTTAACAACTGTCTAGCTTAGCAACAGAAATATTGGGCTCAATATTATTCATAAGTAGAGGACTACCTATACTTTGTTCATGCAAACTCAGTTCCATTCTGGTTTAAATGTTGGGTAAAGATGTGTGCACATCTGTCACAACACTTACTTGATTTCTGCCAATCCAGAATATTTGGTGAGAATCTCAAAGAGGTGAGTCATGTCCAGCCTGATTGTGCAACCCTCCAGGCTGAAAGAGAGGATCATGTTCTGCGTTGTAAAGATTTAAATCCAGAATAGGTTGAACCCACCTCCCTTCTGATGTTTCCCCCCCCCCCAATGCTTTTTCGCCTTTCCAACAGATTCTATAACAATAGGGTAGCCCAAAATGAGGGGAAATGATTATTTTTTTCTTTTGTTTTGCAACTCTTTGAAGAGAGTTCTGTAAATAGATAGCTTCAAAAGATACTAGAATTGTTCAAGTAGAGTAGAGTAGAATAGGAGTCTAGTGTAGTGTAGTGTAGTGTAATGTAGTGTAGAGTAGAATAGAATAGAATAGAATAGTAGTGTAGTGTAGAGTAGAGTAGAGTAGAGTAGAGTAGAATAGAGTAGAATAATAAAGAATAGAATAGAGAATGGAATGGAATGGAAGGGAAGGAAATAGAATAGAATAGAATAGAATAGAATTCTTTATTGGCCAAGTGTGATTGGGCACACAAGGAATTTGTCTTTGGTGCAGATGCTCTCAGTGTACATAAAAAGACAAGATACATTCATCAATAATCATAAGGTACNCAGAAAGGTCAGCAGTTGGCCAGTTCGAATCCCTAGCGCCACATAATGGAGTGAGCTCCCATTACTTGCCCCAGCTTCTGCCAACCGAGCAGTTCGAAAGCACGTAAAAATGCAAGTAGAAAAATAGGAACCACTTTTGGTGGGAAGGTAACAGCGTTCCGTGCGCCTTCGACATTGAGTCATGCCGGCCACATAACCATGGAGACATCTTCAGACAGCACTGGCTCTTCGGCTTTGAAACGGAGATGAGCATTGCCCCCTAGAGTCAGGAATGACTAGCACAGATGTACGAGGGGAAGCTTTACCTTTACCTTATTCCCCCTCTGATACTTTGGAGAATAAGTTGACTCCCTTTTCTCTGTGACATTCTTCAAGTACTGGGGGAAGGCTAGCATGTCCTCTTAATCCTTCTCTTCAATAGGATAGACTTACCCAGTACCCTGCAACTGTTCCTCGTACGGTTTAGCTCCAGACCTTCCATCATCTTTGTTGCTCTTCTGTGCACTTAATATCTTTTTGGTATAATATTAGCAGAAGGTTCCACACATTCATAAAATGCTCGCTGGTGATGCTAGTAAAAAGATTTGCTTACCTGTGGACCGCAAACGCTCCTTTTCCCACCTGGGGAGGAAATTTCTGTTCCAGCATAAAGAGGGAACCAGTTTTCCTTTTGAAAAGTAAAAATAAAAGCAAGAAAAAAAGATTGATTGGCTAAAATATTTAAGGCTATTCTTAGCCCTCTCCCAGAAACCTGAAGATATTTTCTACTTGTTTAATCCAGCAATGTACTACCTGGAGCATATTTCCCATGGATTCTCTCTAAGCCTCATGCTATCTTGTCTGGCATCTCCTGAGATTCTCAGGACCATCAGTGATTTTGTAGAATAGCCTATTCCCAAGTTTAAACAACACAATTCTGAGTCCCACTAGCTACAGAACGCCAGTCAGTGGGGCCTAGAAGGTCAGCCTATTTTGTCAAGGTGCCACTTTATAGAATATCCTCTCTCTGGAAATTAGAAGGAACCCAACCCAGCTTGGCTTTCATAAGGTCCTCAAGATCTACTTCTGTGCCTGGGTCTTGGGTTCTTTGTATTGTTGTTGTTAGTCGCGAAGTCGTGTCCGACCCATCGCGACCCCATGGGCAATGTTCCTCCAGGCCTTCCTGTCCTCTACCATCCTCTGGAGTCCATTTAAGCTCACGTCAACTGCTTCAGTGACTCCATCCAGCTACCTCATTCTCTGACATCCCCTTCTTCTTTTGCCCTCCATCTTTCCCAGTATTAGGCTCTTCTCCAGGGAGTCCTTCCTTCTCATTAGAGGGCCAAAGTATTTGAGTTTCCTCTTCAGGATCTGGCCTTCTAAAGAGCAGTCAGGGTTGATCTCCTCTAATTCTTTGTATTAGTGACTGCCAATTGTGATTTTATTTCCCAATTTGTGATTGGAATGGCTTTTAATTATTTTAAGATTGTTTGTCACTGAGAGTTGTCTGAAAGTTGAGTCATGGCAACTGGCAACTATTTTTGTGTTGGTTTGAGACATTTCACTGCTCATCCAAGTGTCTTCTTCTGTCAGAAGAAGTTAGTTGGAAAAACAGTTGTTGGAACCTGCTACTTCCTCCCACACCAACCTCAGAGGTTTCTTCTTCAAAAGGTGTGGCAACATGTGAAGATTCTCAATCACTGAAATAAAACTGTTGAAAGTTGAGTCATGTGGCAATTGGACTTTTTGTTGTTGGTGGTTTGAAACCTCTCACTGCTCATCCAATGCTGGAGCTGCTTGGATGAGCAGCGAAATGTCTCAAATTAACAAGAAAGTAAGCCCAGTTGCCATGACTCAACTTACAGACAATTTTACCTGGATGACTGAGAATCTTCATCAACACTGACAGTTATTTGTCAAGATGGATGGCAGAAGGAAAGAAGGAAAGAAGGAAGGAAGGAAGGAAGGAAGGAAGGAAGGAAGGAAGGAAGGAAGGAAGGAAGGGTGGATGCATCCAATCTACTCAAAAGCCACTACATCCTCAACTGCAATCCAAGCCAGGGCCTAAATAGGACCCTACCTACAGAAAGCAATTGGGCAACAACAGAGATGGAGGATTTGAAGGAGGGGAGGAGCCAACATCGCAACAATACAACCTGTGGTCTCGACAGTCCGAGACCGCCGTTGACACTTTTGCCACTGGACCGTCCAGTTGGACCTAAACCTAAACCATCCCATAGAGACGGTCAACAGGAAGACAAAGCCTTGCTGGTCTCAGGGACATCACAAAGTCCCTGATTGACCCAAGGGAAGCGCTTCAAGCCGGCGGCAAACAGGCAGCCCCAGGCTGACAAAGTTGGAGACGGCTCCGGAAGGAAGAAAGTGAAAGTTAGTCCATCTGGTGAGGGGTTTTTTTCTATTCTGAGAAAGATTGCCCAAAGAAACTTTNTATGGGGGGGGAATGCTTAGATATCTTACTTAACTGAATTTGTTTTAGAATATGTCATAAAGGTGTAATGTTATTGGAGATCTATTGAAACTGCAATTGAATGCCAGTAGGTTGTGTCTTTAAATATAAATGATTCTAGATAAAAACATGTTTAAATAATGGTAACCAAATGAGAATTGTGGTACAGGGATAGTAAAATACATAATATTTCTTTCTTGACTCAAAATATACAATTCGATTTGAATGAAGTATATGTAAGGATTGTGGAAGAAACACACAGAATATATTTGTAACCAATCGACACGCTTTCTACAAGATGTAACGAAAGATGATTTTTTTTGTGTTTTTTGTGTAACCAAAACAATAAAAAAAAAATTCTCAAAAAAATATTCAGAATATCCAGAAGCAAAAAGAGTTTTTTTTTTCTTACTTGAATTCTTCACAAGATATAAGGGAGAAGCTAAGTTGAATTCTGGCCTTCAAAAACTTTAAAACGGAAGCCACAACACCTTGGCAAGTTCAAGACTGCCTAGCTGGAGAATTCTTAAAATTCTTAAAATTGCCAAGGTTGGACATCTTCCCCATACATGATCTACATTAAAAAGGAAGAGGGCTTTAACTGCAGAATTGTAATCATCATCTTTAGTTTTTGGGGTTTTTTTGCCAACCCCATCACTTCAAATTTCACTTTATATCCATCTTACTTTTGCTTCAACGGTGTTGATTAAGAAAGTCTCTTTGAACATGATTCAATTATATATCCAAATTAAATTAATGGGTAGAATCTGATGGACACTTTAGATGGAACTATGAAATTCCATGCTTCAAAGATGATACAAGGACTTGGAGAAACATTTATTAAATTTAGATGCTGCCCATCTCACTCTTTTTTGGCTCAAACTGAAGCCCAGAATTGAACTGATTTTCTGAATTGACTTAAGTATGACTGAGAACCTGGACTGAATTCTCAACAAAATTACTAATCTATTTCCATCACTTTTCTGTCTGGTCCCCTTTTGATGCCTTTTGGAACAGAGCAGGTTAACTTCTAATCCATTTTTATATATTATCTGCCTACTTCAAATCCTTTTGAACATACAGCCAGGCTATCTTTCTGCCCTGAAAACCCCATTTCTACATCCATAATAATACCAAAAGAAAATAAATTACTACAAATGTATACCTTGCACAAATTTCAACTACATCATCCTTTGTGGCAAGGAAATTTACAAGCAGGAGAACTCCATCTGGCGAGATTCCATTGTGGTTGATTCTATGAAAGAAATGACAATTGACAGATTACTTCACTTTCTTTTACAGGTTTAACATATGTTCCATGATTTTATTAAAAACTATCAGTAATTTCTTTCTATGTGGTTAAGATGTTACTAAGGTAAAATAGTCTATTTTCCTAGATTCTATTATACTTGAGTCTATACTAGAAGTGAAATTGATGGATTATTTTCCTTTTGAAAATAAAACAAGTGTTCATGATTTTCTTCCAAAGCAATTAGTGGTAATGGCTTCTTTTATTCAAATTTCTTATCTAAATTCCCCCAATAACAACTACTGATAACTTCCCAGTTTCATTTGTTCCTCAGTATCTAGGTCAGTTCTATTGCATATTAAGAGGAGGCTAAAGTTATCTTTGGCATGACTATTTTCCAAAACACCTGAAGGAAGAACAAGAAGCAACAAGTGGAAACTTATCAAAGTTGTCTGAGAAGGATTTATGCAATAGTGGTGACGTTAGGGAGATAGCAGGTTGAAGTTCAACAGATAAAGTTACAGTGGGGGGGGGGAGGGGGTCACTTTCCCATGGAATCCCATAACTTCCATTCTGCTTCTCACACTGAATCCACTTACTTCAATGAGCAGGAATTCTGGATCTTGGGCAAATGTTCGAAAATCCACCTTAATCCTTCGTCATCAAAATCATTCCCAGACAGACTAAGAAAGGGATTTTTAAAAATGTAAGTTTCCAGGATAGATATATTTAAAATGTCCCTATTGGTTCAACAATTATTTTTTTAAAAAGCTTAACCCAGTGTGAAGTTGTTCTCAATGGAGAAGTTGGATTCCATTCTTCATGACTTCAGAGCAGTATTTTTAATGGTTAAATTTACAGATGATTCAGTGTTCTAACCGAGGCTTCCCAAACTCCTTGTCCCAACAAAAAACCCTTTGATTAATTGACTGTGAATTCTGCTCATTCACATCCAGCAAAGTCTTTCAAGGGAGGATTTACAGTCACAGACTTTATCTGGCAGAGAGCTAAGAGGCCGATATCTGCAAAACTTGGGAAGGAGTCTAGGAGTCAGGAACCAATTAAGCGAATGGTCTCCTGCAAACTCCACTCCCCTTTTTGCTCCTCTTTTATTTCCTCTGGGAGGGGCCATTCATCGTCCACTTGTGGCCTTACTCACAAGTCGACCCCTGTTCTTTAGCTGTTCACTTCGTCTTGCAACTCTGCGCATGCACACACTGGAAAGAGGCTCCAGCTGTTAATTTGCCTCACTGATGTCTGACTCGGAAGGCAGCTGATAACTGGCATACGGCCCTGGCCCCCACTCTGCCTCCAACACAGAGCCCTCATCAGAGCCTTCCCCAGACTCCAGGACTGGCCCATCTCCCTCCCCAACCTCCTCACTGTCCGACTCTGCTGCCAGGCTCTGCTGGCCACTGGCAGGCCACAACATTGAGAGACAAGTGCATGGTGAGTTCTTTTGCAATAAAATGGAAGTACAGACAGTCCTTGACTTAGAAGCATTTGTTTAGCAACTGTTTGAAGTTGTAACAGCACTGAAAAAAGTGACTTGTGACCATTTTTTCACATTAACAACCCTTGCAATATCCCCACAATCACATGATCAAAATTCGGATGCTTGGCAACTGTCTCATATTTATGATGGTTGTAGTGTCCCAGGGTCATGTGATCACCTTTTGCAATCTTAAAGCAAAGTCAGTGGGAAAGCCAGATCCACTCATCAACTGTGTTACTAACTTAACAATTCCTCTCCTTCCTTTAACAATTGTGGCAAGAAAGGTCATGAAATGTGGCAAAACTCACCTCCTAAGCAACATGAATTTGAAGCTGAATTGGGTTGATAACTCAAGGACTACCTGTAGTTAGGCCATGCTCTCTTCCAGAATGGTTAAGTCATGACATCTTAAGAATCATAAGGCTGGAATGGACCTTCAAGGTCTTCTAGTCCAACCCTCTGCCCAGTTCTGAGTTC